TTTTCTTTTACATCTGACGCGGCAGTTTTATTTGCTTTACCTATACGTATTTCTAGTTGTAAATAAAGCCATCCAATTATAAACTGCAAAAAAAAACACATCTCATCATACCACTCGATTTTCGTGGACCAACATTTTAAAACCAAGTCTTAAAGGTACAATTGTACCTTATAAACTATAACATTTCGTGAAGGAAATTAATCGACCCCAAAAGTGCTTATTTAATATCACACAAAAATTATGGGAACTTAAGGTGACAAGTGCGCACAGAAAGTGACCAAACAGAGCCAAGAAAGAAAGTTCGACCTCTGACACAAAAATGTTTCTCTTTGTCCTCTGTGTGCCCCCGCCCCCCGGCTCATTTATGAGACTTGAAAGACCTTCTTTAGGCCTTTTTTTATGTCCAAAACAACTGACAGACTACTAAGAAAAAGTAAAGTCTCATAACAGTTCCTCCTGCAAACGGTACCCATCAATATGAAGATATCAACATCTATTCGTGCAGTTTATTCCTTTTGAAAACTTGAACTTATTGCAGCCCTAAGTCATGTAAATTGTTACAATTACTGATTACGAAAAAAATGTACTTTAAATTATATTGCGTGTAATAGTCAATGAGCAAAAGACATAACACTTGGTAATGAGGAAGCGAAAAAGTAGCAATACTATAGTTCACCTTGCCTCACCCGAGGCTTGCTTCCCCCACCCAACCCCCTTAAATTTGGAGAACCTATAACCATGATATTGAAATATTAAAAACCATATTGAAAACTATGACCAAACTCATTGTGTCCCCCCCCCCCCACCCCCCGCAAACGGGACCCAGCTGTGGGCCCTTGGTTCACGGACAAGAAGTCTCAGCAAACAAACTTTGCATGTGTTATAACATGACCAACAAAAGTGTGCAGGAAGTATACTCCTGCAGGAACTTATGTTTACTTATATTGTCGTTCATTTTAGAAATCAAGCCTTACCTTGGTCTGGGATGAAGCATAGTAGCAGGAGTACCCTTACGCCGAGATAGCAAGCTCGATTCGTCTCCATGGCTTGTTTCTCACCGAAGTTGATAAATCCCACCCGTACACGGCTCACGCGGCGTCCATTCTTTTGAACAAACGCATCAGTAACTGCTTAGTTTATGCCTAAAACTGAGCATACGTGCGACTGGAGCAGGAAATATCGTACAGACGGCCTGTTTACACATCAACTTTCAGGGGTTTCCCACTGACCTCTAGATGATCTCTGCTCGCAAAGAAGTTGTTCGCACGTTTAGGTAACATTGCTAGTTTCCGGATTCACCACCCGTTTCCGTCAAAATTCGAGAAGCCTCGCGAACATTGCACTATTGGTAAGGCGCTGTTCCGATACATGTTCTTGCGCAACATGCTGAGTTTTCAAAAATATCATGGCAAATATTGCTACATATAAGGTCATATATACATATTAAGTCATTCGTTTGAGTCCACTCAACCTCGCACTCTGGACACAAACACCAAACACGTCACGTGACCAGGCGCGGTTCTACGGGGGGCTAGGGGGGGGGGGGCTGCCACCCACCCCCCCCCCCCAATTTTTTTGTCTAGCCCCCGAAAAATGCACTAGCAAAATGTAAGAATTTGACGTACATGGGAACGGTCTCCTCCTAAATGAGAAGGGGGCATTTGTACACTTTTAGTTGATATAGTGTACCCGATTGTAGGATTTTATCAGCGCTCCCCATTCGCTTGTACCCCCCCCCCCCGCCCCCCCCCCCCCCCCCCCCACCCTGCAAACAGGGCGCTGGGAAGGGCAGATGAGCTGCACAGAATCTTGTTAAGGAAGTGGGGATGGCATTCTGGGTCATTTATCATGACCTTTGTATAAAGCATCTGGCTGCAGCTGTAGACCGCGGTTAGCCAATGCACGCAATTACTATCCGAAAATTTTGTCATAGAAATGCACACCATACTGGATGTGATTTTTTTTCTTTGCGGACCATGTGGACAAATTTTGAGCGTCGAATGATATGCATTTCGACCCTTCGTGAATTCGAAACGGAGCCTGAGCAACTGGCGGGAGTTGAACATTTACAAAACATATAAGTTTTACAGATTTTCCTACATTAAAAAGGGCGCCGCATTTATGCATGAGAATAAAAGAGTGACAAATGACTCAGTCTAACGTTTCAAACCAGGGTCGTGGCCGTGACGCCTTGCCGGTCACAGGTCACGCAAATTCTATCAAATCAGAGCGTTGATTCGTCAGCCCTTCCCAGCGTCCTGTTTGCAGGGCAGGGGGTACGAGCGAACGCTCCCCATAGAAAATATGACATTATTTCTTCCTTCTACCCGGTTTTCTTCCCCCCTCTCATTGTGCTCTGCAAGATGGTCTTTGTTAGGCCAGATGATCGGGAGATATGTCTATACCAGTTTAGCTTGTGATTCTTGACAGTGGTCATGAGATATCCCGATATCTTTGTGTGTGTCATGTTGTCGTAAAGCTTCTCATTTATCACACGGTGTTTGTATGAGATGCCCAAGATCTTGCGGTAGCACCCCATTTTCACGGCTTGTGTTCTTCTGTTTAGCTCAGCATATAGAGGGTCCAAATTTCCCAAGCATAGATGAAATTGGATATCATGAGCCAGCCACGCCTACCGTGTCTAGTTTTATATATAATGCCTGGTTTTCGGTTTTCTTAAAGCATTGTGTATACGAATGTCTTCAAAATGCATTTTATTTCTAAATGGTGGCTTCCTTATATGGTATAAATTCCATATGGTATAAATTCCTTATATGGTATAAATTCCTTATATGGTAGAAATTCCTTACAACGCAATTGCAAATATAGGCCTATTCAAAGCAAATGCAAATATTCACACTTTAAACAATGACAAGTTATAATGACTAAATTCTAGTTTGGACTTTCAGTGAGCTTCGAAACCCAATTTTCAGTTTTTAGAGATTTAATAGTCGATTAATATTATCCTAAGCCATTGTTGAGCATCACACATTGAAAAATATACTGCTGTTGTTATGATCCGAACAAAATTGTGATATTCTCTTATTTCAATACTCCTGATTATATTATAAAATCTTCATAGAAATTCGTTCTTAATTGATATACAGAAATGTCTGCCATTTCCATTAAAAAATATTGATGTGTCTATTATTGAAATGTGGGGACTACTTGCCAAAAAATGTTTTTTTTTTTTTTTTAATTTCTTCCAATGACACACAATAGCAGCATTCAGCCACGCCTACCGAGTTCCAGACCCCGCCCATCCTAACACCACCAACATACATGTTTGTTTATCTTGAGTTTCTCTCTTTTCATGGTTAATGTGTGGTTAACAATAACAATACCTTCAATTGTAAGGTTTTTTCCAGTAGTATAAGCTACGTTTAAGTACTGAGTATTTACTTGCTACCTTATATGTAATTAGGTCTTTAATTTATACAAATTATGCATCATATAAAAAAAAATATCGATTGCTGTAAAATAATCATATCGTATAAGCATCCTTATTTAATAATCAGAAAGATTCCAGATGCGCTGTTAAACAATCCTATCGTATGGGTATCTGTTTATTAATAAAACAATAAAAATGTGTACATTCTTCAAATGTCAAACTGTCTGAGTTTCTGTGTAATTATGTTCATACAAAATCTAGATTGTATGTATACGCTAGTTGGTAGGTATATATTCAATACATTAAACATCTAAGAATCTAATTCTTACAGAAATAAGTTTATTTACACTGCTGCTTTTTGTTGAGCATACTTCGTTATCGCTACTTTTGCCCCAGTATTCTTTTCACAAGTTTGTAAACATTAGGCCAAAAAAAGTATCCGGTTTCTGGTATATGGAGCTTGCCCAAAAAGTGGTGCGGCGACGCGGCTTTTTTTTCTTAACCTGTTTTTTTTTTGCTTCAAGTGTCGGCTGATGACTGCAAACTGGTGCCCGACTAAACTTATTCCAAATATATGGGAGTCCAGAGAGGCCACATAAAGCTTATTCTCGATCATAAGCCCATCTAAAAACACGTTAAAATTGTGCAGCAGCAGGATTTCAGTCAAACCAGTGAGTTTGGCGGTATTGAGACATAATCTTTTATTGAAAAAAAAAACTTTTTAATTTTGCCGACGCGCATGGCTACGGCGACGCGCGCGCATACCAGAAAGCGAAGACTTTTTGGGGAGCCTTACTACGTTATTATTCATGCTTAAATTTTAAACATTACTACGTTATTATTCATGCTTAAGTTCTCATCTGGATATTCAAGATAGCTTCAAAGTAGTTAATTCATCATCTCCCATAACATGAAAATCTGTATTCACAAATCAAAATTGGCATTTTGCACAGAAAAAATACTTGCAAACATGAAGAAAATACTCGTAAACAAAATTATACTGATACTTCAAAATCAAACACTTGTATTAACAAGTTATAACGAAACCCATTTCACACAATGGTTGACGTAAAAGTATTACGTTTCCTGACACCGAACCGTGATGTCAATCACTTGCCTTTGTAAAAAATAACCATCGTAACCATTGGAGTATATGCATTACCCTTAAATTTCTTATCTTATTGCTGATAGTCGTTTCCTCTATCTTTAGGCAGAATCGGACTTCGCCAGTGCCGTAAATTTGTGTCGGCGAGTGAGGGGGGGGGGGGAGATGGGGGATGACCAACATCCTAAAATTGTTCGGCCGTGGAAATTCAAAATGCGGGGGAGGGGGGGGGCTGGACATCATATTACAATAGGGGGAACTTTTAAGGATAATGCATATTAATGTGTATAGTCGCGCTTACATCAAAACGGCGCATGTTAAAGCTTTTGTACTTTGTTTCTACACTTTTTCAGTACTATTTAATACATTTTAGTTGTTGGGATGTTCGAAAAATACCTCAAAATACGCATTGTTTTTCTCATCACAAAAACACGCGTGGGGGGGGGGGGATTTAATAGCCCATTCCCCCTGGTCAAAAAGTGGGGGGGGGGGGGGGGGATATATACCCCCTTTCCCCCCACCCCCGGGATTTACGCCCCTGGACTTCGTACATCCGTCTAGTTGTCGTCAAGCTCCGGGCGGATCACGCAGAAGTTCTCATAGTGGGCGCGATCGATCGCCATGTACGTCTGCAACGAGAGAAATAATATCATGACCTTAATCTTCCATGTAAGTAGATTTGGTGAACTCACTTGCAAACGGATGCAAATCAATAATCCTCCAAACTAGTCTCGGAGAAAATTATTCCACCCTATACAGGATGACCTCAATAATGCAACCCTACAACATTTGCCTTTAAAATGATTAAAGCAGAAAGCTTTTTCTTTCAAATACTGACAAAATCATAAAAATAAAACTTTGGGTTGCTTTGGTTTGCTGAGAAAATGCCATTGATGTAAAAGTAGTCATTTTCATCCTGTGCTCAAGGATATATTTTGACATATTTATGTTGCTGAAAGTGTTTAAAATAGGACTAAAAAGAATGAGATACCTGTTCAGGTGGAAAATAAAAAGGAATTTCCATCAAATTCATTTGTACATTAGTCATATTAATATGTGTCATGTTGTTTGTAATGTTTAAGACATGCACAAAATAATATGTACAGTGAAAATCCCTTACTGTGGTATTTTTTTGGAGTTCAGGATGATCTACTACTACCTGTACATAAATGACATTTTCTCAGCAACCCAAAGTACTATTTTCATGGTTTTTTTTTTCAGTATTTGAAAGAAAATGCTCTCAGCTGTAGTCTGATACCAAAAACATAAAAGTCCATTGATACATTTTTTTAAAAGGCAAACGTTTTAGGGTTGCAGTTTTTTGGGGTCACCCTTTACATCCTGGAATTGCTAATGACTACGCTTAATGTTTACATTATCTTGGCAAGGAACAGTTGCCCAATGACCCACAATTAATCATTAGAGCTTAACAATAGCGGGACAATTAGCTTCAAGTTTTACAAAGGCTGATGATTCAAAACGTGACAATTAGTTTACCACTGAAAATTAACAAACAAGACCAAGCAAGCCAGATAAAGCAGGTTCCAAAGCGTACAATATTCTATTCAATCGATTCAGAATGACCTTTTACTGGAAGTCTTCTCATGCATGTGACCTACACAATGGGATGTATTCATTGCATTGGGGGATAATTTCATTTGAAATCATTTGGACCAAAGAGAGAATTTCACTTCTAAACTAGTCAGTGGGTCAGTCAGTCAGGTACAAAGAGGCTTGCCCTCTGGGACCAGCACAAATGAATGCTGGTTCAAACATTACTCACGTGTTCAATCTTATTGTCATCCATCTTGCTGAGGATGTGGATCAAATCACTGAAGGAGGGTCTGTTGCTAGGGTCCTCCTCCCAGCAACGAAGCATCAAGGAGTAGCTAAATATATAAACAAAAATATATAGAACAAAACCACGGCATGCATGATTTTTATATGGATGATCTTGACCAAATTTCAACCGCGGTGGGTGTAATAAGTGTCAATTATGGAGTTCAGTCCATCGTAACTCCTCACTCCTCAATTATGGAGTTCAGTCATAGAGCTGTAATTATTACACAGCTCTATGAGTTCAGTCCGTCTTCACGAAGTTTTCAAAAGCCTGCCACAAGTACATGCCGAGTCATCAAGTCCTATGGTAAGTAGCAAGCTTTTCAGATGAAAGGTAGCAAAGGCATTCCCATATCGCTGTTCATTTCCTGTAACTTATGAATGTACTTGTGAATTAACTTATAATTTACTTGTGACGGGACTTGTGATTGCCTTGTGATGGAATCGACAATAACACCAAAGTGTGTCTGATAGTTTTCCATAGGCTTTTGGGCCATGGGGGCGCCCTTTAGTTCAGAAACGAGGGCGAGTAAAGGTCATCCACATATTTTTCGGTCTCGGTTATTCGTATCTTGTAATTATGGTTTTCTTAAAGCACTTTTTACCCGGAAAAGTTACATTTGCTCAAGGTAATGAGGCATCTGAAACATAATTTTTATTTTGCATTATCATTTGATATACTTTGGTATTGATATTGGGGAAAAAGTGCCCAAATTAAACACCGTGCTTATGTAAATCTTAGCACACACTTATAAATTGTCAACTAACAAAGGATTAATTTAGTTTTTTTACACTCAAATGTTTTAACATTATGCACGCAATAGGTTTAACACGATATGCTTACATTTGCTCATCGCAGTTGGCAGGTTTAGTCATGCGGTATCCTTCCATCAGCCGACCTACCAGGGACCTGGTGGCAATGGCTGGGTATGGTGTGCCTCCTGCGCAAAATAATGAAATTTGGAAAATAATCTTAGAAATGAACAAAATCTTCCAATGAACACACCTCTTTCGTTTTTATTTTGTTTAACTGGAAACATTGCATGATTTGTGAGTTCATCCCTGCATTGTCTGAATGAACTGTCCAAGATGACAACCAAAGATCTTACCAATTGAAGCGATTTCCCAAAGGAGAATGCCGAAGGACCACCTAATAACAGACGAAAAAAAGTTGTCAGCAATGAGCAGAACCATACAGAAACCCACATACAATCCTGCAGGCTGCAAGAAATACTTAAACAAGGATATTTTGTATTCTCCTTATACCATACTTACACGTCACTTTGAGTTGTGTAGGTGCGATCCAGCAAAGACTCAATGGCCAACCAACGAGTAGGCACACGGCGCTGAATAAAAAAAAACAACCCGTGTACACCAGTGAGATTCATATTTCATAATGGTTTGATTTTCGGAAACATTAAGGAATCATTTGATTTTTCAGATCAGGTTGGCATAATACCGGCTAGATCACTAAAAGAATGTGCTTTTATAGTTTGATCCATTTGCTTATAAACATCTTGACTTGGTTTGAAGTTGTACTAAGAATCGACGGTGGATTATAAACTACACATTTTTAAGACCTACCGTAGACGTCTGGACATAAGTATCCTCTCCTCTCGAAAGCCCAAAATCTGAGACTTTGGCGACCAATTGCTCACCGAGCAAGATGTTTCTGGCCGCCAAATCACGATGAATTACCTGTCACGGAACGCAAGAAAACAAAAGGAAACATCATCAAACTTTGAAGCCTGCTCTTATTTTGAGTAGTTAGGTTCACAAATTTAATGGTCAACCTTCCTTATGCGGAAGGATGAATCAAGGATAGTCATTGTTGAAGAGCTCCTTAAGTTGATCAGCTCAGGGACCTTTTAGTGACGTACCCCGGACACAGAGAGGTGATTCATTCCCTTGGCAACATCCAGGGCAAACTTGATCAGCATCTCGGAGGAGAGGGCGCCCTCGTCTGACTCTGATTGTGAGCGAGCCGTGCGCAGATAGCTGCGCAGATCACCGTTAGGGAGATACTCTAGGGCCACGTACAGAACATCTGAGAGAAAACATCGATTTTTCGACAAATTAACATGACTCAGTGCTTTTACCATTTCTCATATAACTACAAGTAATCATAGTGTCAACGTTTGTAAATCATGTTTCTTGAGAGAAGGAATCTTATTATTATCATCCACAAATACCTTCATGCTGGCAAGCCCCCAGCAACGACACCACATTGGGATGATATCCGATGTTGGTCATTGTACGAAATTCCTCCATGAAATCTTCCCGGTCAGTTTTCGAGGCGTGACCTTTAAGCAAAATATATACAAGTGGAACTTCACAAATGTGCCGAAACTAAATAAATACCGTAAAACTCCATTTTAAATACTTGTGACCGTTTTACCCTTTCTAAAACAGTAAAGCTGTCTATCAGGAATCATTTCGTTTATTCTGCATTTACAACACGAAAAGGAAAAAAGTGTGAAATTTATTTTCGAACATAGTGGATTTACCATTCGCTTTGTACTTGTCATTTTGTCATGTTTGGTCCAGTTTGGTCTCGTCTTTTTCGTACGAAATTTATACTGATGAGTATTCCTTCAACATTTCATTTGGTTGTTATTGTTTGGAATTTGTAAACTGCATGATGAAAATCGATGTTTTTTTTTTTTTAAATAACAGTCATTCGTATCAAATCGTTTACCTTTCAGTACTTTGATAGCTGTTTTGGTCATCCTCCCGCCGATGTTTACAGTTCCCGATCTCACTTCACCAAAGTTCCCTTGACCGAGGACTTTGTCATCAACCACCAGGTTCTTCCAGAGAATCTCCCATCTCAGGGCCCACGATGGCAGGCCAACATCCTCGTAGACTGCGGATGCCATGCCGTCCTCAGGAAGACTCACGTCATCATAGTCGATGCTATCCTGTGCAGGAAAAGATTCAATGTAGGGCGAGGATATAGAAATACACATTTCATCTTCTTTTTTTATCAATTACACTTTCAGAACAACACAGTAGATTTGTTTTGTTTTTACTTACAGCGCGTTGTCCTTTAGTGGTAACCATAATGTCTCAAAACCTGTCACATTAGGTTTACAAAATCAGGCGCGGATCCGGGCTCTGTCCGTTTTTCTGTCATAGAAATTCATTACAAATAATGCAAACACCCCCTCCCCCGCTCTGACACCCAAAACAATTATACTGGTAATAATGTCCGCCTGTGCACAAAATACAGACAGAGCCAGCTTGGTTATCGGGTATTTGTACACTATCCTGTGATATAGTGTTAATAATCGTCGAAATTGAACAGCGCCTCCATTGAGGTTCGAGCACCCCCCCCCCATTGATTTTCGGAAGCCAAGTGTCTGAAAAAAACCTGTCTACATTTCAGACTTTTTTGCTGATGAACCCCCCACTGCAAAAATTCCTGGATCCGCCCCTGAAAATTGGACGTTTTGGTAACGTGATGCCAACTTTCAGCAAACTGTTCTGCCCTAAAATATGATTGGGTTAAATGTGTTTATATAAACTGTTCAATGTTGGCCAAATAACATGCAAAAGATGCTTAAAACTAATGTCTGGGTTTCCCGCCGGAACATGGCGTATACAAGAAATACCTTCAAATTGTTCAAAATTGCGGTAAACAGGCATTTAATGTTTATTTCTAGTTTGATAAAAGGGATGTGTATTTCTGTTACCAAGTTTCTAATACATGACGCTCATTCAAAATTCAGGAACGTCAGTGTATAAGACTTTGGGCTCCGGGCGCGAACAAGAGAGGGCGCTTTGACCACTTTTGATAGACTTGTTCCCGGTCGATCCTTCGATTGTCTTTCGGGCTTCGAAAGTAGGGGGAGAAAGCTAGCAATGAATCCTGGAGGTTTTCCTCCTAATGTATGCATATTATATGCAGGACTAGCCTAGGTCTGGTTCCCGCACCCTGAATACAAAATCACAACAATTGCAAAATGGCAACAACGGCTATCATTAATGTGCATTTTTTGGGGTAATGGGCTTCGAATTTCGCAGAATGTGTCGCTGGCAACTATCATCAAACAAATGCAAACTATTTTCTGTCTTTGGAAACCTATGCAGTGGAAATGCCTGAAAGTTGCCTTTGTGGAGACACTGACGATTTTGCCTGCTTGTTACTTTATAAAAAAAGAGTCAGTTTTCTACTAGCCGTGTGTTCATCAAGTGTCATGCATGTTCGAAGCTGTAATCATCATTTTGAAAAATAAACAATCATACTAAGCACGCGCAGAGGTGATCCAATCAATGGCCTTAAATGCATGTGACTTGCTACCGTTCCCCATATTTTATGGGGGCGCGGGACAAGTCTACCGTCGTCAGATTCAAAATAGTACATTATGAAGCAAAGCTCGCCCCTCGTATGATCCCAGTGCATCAGTGACGCACAAAGTCGTCATTGAATACAAAATGCAAGCAATAAATATTATGAACTCAATTATTGTTTTATAGATCATTGCCGGGTAAATCCAACCTAATTATACCCGGAAATACCTGGGCGCTATTAACCGAGAGTGCCAACAAATGCATTCGCCATTCGGCGGCTGCCTGACATAAGATTGATCAGAAATAGTCAGATTAATTTGGTCTGGGAACCAGACTGGTGCTTGCAATGATCAGTAATTTGTGCACTTACGAACCAGATAGCGCGAAGCAAGCACAAATAAAATGTTTATTCTGAATGTGCACAAAGCAGCTTCCAGTGTCTTCGCGTGAGCTCCAAGCGTCGTCAGGGGCGCGCGCGTTCGATGTCTCTTCTATACTGGTCTCTCCAAACTCTTCCTTTCTTATCAGTGAGGGGTACCTGTGCAGAAACCATACCCAATTGGTCACTCACCATTTCCATGGCTGTCGTTTCAGGTCGGCTGTGATTGGTTCTTCGTTTCTTTCTCCATACCCTCACACCACGTGCAGTCAATGTAATGAGGAATGCCGTGCCTAGGCCTACTGCAAATACCACAGCAATTACTACCGTATTGTCAGGCTGGGCTACTGTAAAAGAATTCCCAAAGATGTCCTTATGAAAATCACAATGATATTAATCAAAAATGTCAAATTTAAATGCTCTCCAGTTTAAAAGTTGAAGCGTTCTTACAATAGACTGCCCTAACCTGTACCCATTTACTCTTGAATAGGGAGAAGCAATGAGTGGCAAAGAGTCTTGCCCAAGAGCACACGCAACATAACCCCATACAGAATTACACGCAGACCACGAATTGAACGCTCCAGACCACCAGTCCACGCGGCACTCCACGAGGCAGCGAGGCTACTTCTGTTAGTGCAATTTATTACTGCTTTAGGCCTACATCGAGCCATCCCCCTACCCAAACATAACATTGTTTTCCTGAAGAACAACGCTTTTCTTGTAGATATTGATCCTCGGGATTTTTTTCTGTCGAGAAATGACACATCAAAAGGAGTTTTCATGTTAAACTACAAGAGGAAATAAAAAAGTAATTTATTGAACAGAAATGGGACGTACCTGTTGTTATAGGTTGCATAAATGGACTGGAAGTATAAACCTCCTCCATCTGAAATAAAAATGAAAAAAAAATGTAAACATTTGTTGTGGGACACAGAGACCACAAGGGATTTCATGCACCTCCATATCAACCAGGACAAAATGTCATGGATATGCTATAGAAAAAAACGTTGCTAGGAAATTTGAAGTGCTCAGCGAAAATCAACTGGGAGCAAGGCGTGAGTATTGTGGTATGCATTCTTGGCTGGTAACCGTTTTTGCTGAGCTCACATTTTAAGTGCTTAGCAAATGTTTCATCTTCTTAGCAGCTCCATGCAATTGACCCGAAGGTAAAAAAAAACAATCAATATCATGGGCAGATGATTCAGCTTCAAATGTCTTGCAACTTTCTTTCTTTTTTATAAATATGAGCGTCTGTACACAAAACAATGACTGTCTAGTCACTTTTTTGGATCAAAGTGGTTGGTGGTAGTAACACCCACACCCCATTCAGCCGCTGAACATTTGTTTGATAATAGTAAATTTGAATCGGACCACAAAATAATAAAACCTTAACTCAATTTATTCTCAGATTGCCCCCAGAACCCCTATACCAGGTGCCTCATCAGCTGGCGAGAACAACATTGACCGGGGGTGCGGGGGAGTGGGTGACCATGGGAGGCTAAGGTTATTTCCAAGTGTCCAACCATTTTGGCCAGGATTGTAGATCCGCCCCTGAGTCATCTCGATGCAACAGCAATATGCATGAATGGCTTATCAGAAGATGAGGTGCCTTCGAAAGTTGTAATTTGTTTGTCCCCAAACCGGCTTGTTGCAGTGTACCAGCAATAAAACAAGATACTCGAGAAGAAAAATTGTCTTCGAACACACCCTTGTACAACGGGAAATCGCTTGTTTTGCGAAAACTTGCTCACAATCAAAAGATCATATATTGTTATACTTGCAACTCTTTCAATGTATAGGTTACACCAAGACACCATTACTTACGTTATCCAAACCTTTTCAAACTGAATTTTGTTTTTGCAAACAAAATAGAATATTACATATACACTGTATTTACCCCATCTCCGACCTTGACGAATGCCCTCACGAAGGCTGTGTACCTGGTGTCAGACTTCAGTTGGCCGTTATTACCGGTGTGATCATACACAGCTTGACGCTTTCTCCGACTGGATGCAACCCCGCCACACCTTGATGCTCTTTGGGAACCAATCTTTACATTCACGGTCGAATACACCAAGCTCCTGAACAACGTCAAAACATGTCAAGGCAAGCCTATTAACCTTAGTCCCAGAGTGCACAAAATTCTATTCAATTAATTCAAAATGGCTCTTCCCAATTTCTCTTGTCCAGCCACCAACAAACCCGAGTCACAAGTAACAGTCAGTGAGTTATTTAGTCAACCAATCAGTAAGGTACAAAGGGGACTACTGGCTGGCCCCTCTGGAACCAGCAAAATGTGGGCAAGTTTCAGATTCACAGTTATCCATAGTTTCTTTGGCCATGAAACCAGCTCTCTCAAGTAGCTCGAGATCAGTGCAATCTGGTCTCTAACCTCACAGGTACCCATAAATGCCTTTATATTTGTACTTAGGCCTTTAGGCAAAGAGAGGCAATTGTAGAATCTGCTCAAAAACAAAAATCATCAAAAAGTCTGGGGAAATGAGATTACGAGGGGTAATCTACATACCCTTGTTTGACAAAAGCAACGTACGCTCGTCCTGGTGTGACCTGCGCATCTCCGTAAGTTCCAACTTGGTCTTGCGGGAAGTCTCGGTCAGGATCCAGAGTGCTGATGTCTTCGTTTTCCAGTAGTTCCTTCACTATGATATCATAGCAACTGAATTAAAAATAATCAAAAGAAAAGGTTTCACTGCTAAGGAGCAGGTTTTTTTTTTAACTGGTTGTATTCTATCATAACTTCCAATTCAAAAGCAACGTAATTATCCTAATTCCTAGAAAATGTCCTAAATATTTCAAAATTCTTCATCGTTCAGTGAACCAATGAAACTGTAACATTTCATTATTATCCAAACGAACGCCAAAAAAGAAGAGTGACATAATGCGAATGAAATAAGAAATAATAATCAAGCAGATTTACACCGAAACATCAAATTAAGTTATCATCAGAAATAGACGAAATGGGAGAATACAGTAAAGGATAGAGTGGAAGGGCCTCTAAACAAATATATAGAATCCGTGAGGCAAGCATAACATGATGCATCATTTGGTGTTGCTCAGAAGCATGACGTTCCAATTTATTTATTGAAATCGTCAGTAAGCATTACATTTAGTCCCATGTAGAGTAACAGTGGTTGGGATCTATAATTCCTCAGTCCTACAAAACCCTTCAAATGTCTTAGTGGATTTTGAAGGAAGTTGGGGTTAGTCACCTGATTGGTCCGTTTCTTTCGTCAGCTGGAGCCACAGCCATGTAGAATGTGGTGGAAGTAATGGCTTCTCTATCAGGACTGACTGGTTCACCTGCAACTGGTCGTCGCACACTGCCCTCAGCGGGGGCTTTAAAGACACAAGTATTAAAGGTCTGAATAGACTTCCAATAGTGATACTTAAGTAGTTACTGGAATCTTGGTGTGAAGTGGTCAAATCACTAACCATTACAGGAAACAAAAGAAGCAATGAAAGTGTCCATGTTTTGGGGAAAAAAGGTAAAAACTAAATGAGCATTGCCTTTTCTGCAAGTTCTTTTTATAACCAGCCGAGGTAGGAGTACAGATATCGACAATCAAAGAAGAATTGTAGTTTTTGTGTGTCCTTGTAAAGTAAAGTTTATATTATTAATGTTAATACATTGTAAATGTTTTCTATACAACTCCGCTGCTGGCGACGAAAAAAAAGACATTATAATAAACCAATTAATCGTAATAAAAATAATAACTTTAATTGCTTTCATTCTTAAACAAATCTATGAAAGACACAAATTCAACAAGGAGCAATCTCCCTTTCACTCCAACAGACGTTCTATTGTACTTGGCTAAAGTATACCTGCGGGCGGCGTTATACAACTCCCGTTGCCCACATCACTTGAGTTTCCCGTCGACACAGTTGTCGCGCTGATGTTGAATTGATACTCAGAGTAAGGTGCGTGCTCACTCTTCTTGAATGTGAAGGTCATCTGGGACCCATTGTTGATATCATACATCCCAGAATTATCTTGATCAATAGGAGTATCATCACTCATTGGTCTGGGATAGGCACTGTAGTAGACCTGAAAAAAAAAGAAAACCTAAATGCAGGAGGTGAAGGATAGTTAGGGGGTATCAAAAACTTTAGCCACACACACGTGGTGTTCTTGTCCACGGTGGCATATTTGCCGAAATGGACTCCGAGTAGGCGTTGTGTATGGGAAATTCATTAAAGGTTTGTTTAACTCTTACTTTATTAACCCTTCCATCTTAGTGTGTGATTCAGCATTCAACAGAGTGACAGGTGGTGAAGAATATCATCCGCTGTTCAACGGAGCCCTCTCCATAACCAACGTCTGATGATATTTGTAAGCATTGTGACGTCATTTCGATCAGAAACGTGTACTAAATCGTTTATTGGTCAATTTTACTGCAATGTTGTTGTGATGTTATTTAACTTACACATAAAATAAAACTTGTACATGTACAAATGTCATCGTCATTGTCATTGTCATATAATGTAGCTAACTTCCGCATTCTAATCCAGGACAACAATATCCGGACTTTTGTTCTACAACATGGTTCGTCTGGATGTTCGATGTTGAAATCCCAGGCAATCTTCACCTCATTCGCCTCCAGAACCTTCTCCTGAACAGCCTAGGCAGATCCAGGAATTTTCAAAACCGGGGGAGGGACTAGGGAAACACACAAGGGCGTCAATCGCTTCTATATAAAGTGGGGGTGGGGTGCATGGACATACCTTAATCAGAACTAATGCGAGCGCGGAGCGCAAAACCCTTACGGCGTGGGCTTTGGGCCCCACTTAAGGGCCCCGAATTTTGGGGATTCGCCCAACTTAAGGGCCCCGAATTTTTGGGATTCTCCATGCTCTGTGGTGATCTGAGGCCATTTCTGACCACTTTAACTAATTGTTTTTGCAAAGGATCATCATTTAAACATCATTTTTGAGTTTGGAGTCATTGAATCAGGAATTCTGAGGTATATGATTAAATATGCGCTACAACTTTTTTTTATTGAACTTTTAAAATTTCGTCCAAGCCCATAAATCTTTCATTGGCCGTAAACTTATTCTTTGCACTTCGATACAAACTTTAATTTTTGAAGATAACAAAGTTATGCAAATTTTAATCACCAATTCGTCCAATTTGTGCAACGATAACTGGATATTCATAGAATCAATGTCAACTAAAATCATTGTCTTTTACATTCTTAATTCTTGCATAAAATTTGTCATGCAAATTATTTTGGTCTAAAACAGTTCAACTTTCCTTGATCAGTTCCCTTCAAATGAAGAGTTATTCATCAATAATAAACATTCATAAATCACGCAAAGTCTGGAATAATATGTTATAAAAAAGGAGGGGGAATTAAAAAAAAAAGAGGTTGGCCATTTTCCACGATCTTTTCACATTTACACATTCATGTGTTTTCTTAATCGGTTTTCAAGTTTTGGTTGATTCATACATTGATATGTGTTGGTCTAAGATATTTATAGAGAGATCAATATAGCATTTTTGAGCACCTTATCTAAATATTTTTCGAATTGATTATTCTGAACGAGTGTTATTTGATTATAATTGTCTCTCTTGAGATTAACATTTATTCTTCTTTTTATTCGTTTTCATATCTAAGGAACCTGTTTTTCCGGTTACATTGCCTCTGAAAGAAATATATATATAAAAGTGTCGGATTTGTCTTGGATTTGAGCAGAACAGCAGGATAAGCGGCAGGATAATATTTTGTTTACCGTGTAATTCCGAATGATTCCGTTTTCATTCTCTGGTCGGTCCCAGCTGATTTTGCAGGTGTCTGGTAGGTTGACACTTTGTACGTTCACGGGCGAAGTGGGAGCTGTCAAACATGAAACATTTAACAGTTACAATGTATGTGCACAACGAGGAAATCGATTTTATCAAAAGTAACTTAAGGCTGGTTCACAAGAATGTTAAAGCAAAGCTTATTTGAAGTCTTTCAACCTTTGTAGTGAGCTAAATTGTATTCATCTTTTGCAAATTTACTGACAAAAACTTGGACTGACAACACATTCCTATTTTCCGAGTGTTTGGATGAACAATGAATATTGATGAACTTAATTAGTTTAGGAGGACAAACACCGAGAACATCATTAAAGTGCCCTTAAAGCTTGACTGTTGATGGTGTGACTGATACCTTCAGGATACTTGCGGGAGTTGTACACGGCGCCGGGCACACACTAGTACCCTTTCTTCGCAATGCAATTTTCGTTGAAAAAATGACGATATTCTTTCACCTATAACTCTTGAACAAAATGATCAATTATTTTCCAACCTTGTAATCAGATAGACCATGAATGAATGAACATTTTTTTGGTAACTCGTTTGACCTTTACTTCCGGACCTTTACTTCCGACCTTTACTTCCGGGTCCACCGGAAGGTCAAATTGTGTCAATTCAAAATGAAGACTTTGGCCTGAAACCAAAACAAAGCAACATTTCTTCGAACGGTTTACGGTGTGATCATAAAACCTAGTGTGAACTTGTACCATGTAACGAAGCTGTTATAAATTTTGTTACGTCATCATGACGTTATCAGGTATCAAATTACAAGCGATCAAAGGGCAAATTTGGACAAAATAGTTTGCGCTATGTCTTTTGAACTAAATAGAGAATCGTGTTCGTTTTTTTCGTGAGGTTGTAGACTATGTCGTGAGTAATATTTCTTGTCCCCGGACACAAAACCGCTTGACCTTCACTTTCGGTGTTACTGGAAGTGCAATAACAATCGAATATAACTCAAAAGCGGAAGCATTTTACTACAGACAAATACACCATGGAAGTGTTAAATGAGGAATGCCAAACACAAAAACATAATTTTGACGTCATCCCACAAAAGGGCGCCTTCTAGCGGCACATCAAAAACAGTTTAATCCTTTGAAATGTTAAAACCCTCAATCAAATTTTTATGACATTGCCCCTATATATCACGTGAGCAACCACAAAAAAATTTGCAAGGTTTCATAATTATGACATCATCAGACCTGAAGCTACTGTTGGGAGAATTCAACAATGATCATTTTATTTTTAATTTAAATCCATCATTTGATCCCTGTCTCATGACTTTGTTTTTTGTCCCCAAAATTAACATCTGTTATACTTAATATTGGCCTTTTGTTTCCAAATACTGTGACGTCATGAAACCGGAAGTTTGCTGTTATTATTACATACACTTAATGTTCATATTCTCATGCGTTATTTTTACTTAATGATAAACAAGTACCCCCCTTCCTTTTTTGACTGATGACGTCAGCAAACCGGAAATACCTTTTACGTGTACCTAAATCTTTACTGAAATAAACCCTAAAAGACGCATGCTTTTTGTACAAAATAATTGGTAATGGAAATGTTGAAGTTCTTGGTCCTTTTTTCTGACAACATATTCCTAACTTAACCGGACAATGTCAAATGAAATTATTGTCTACCCGACCACTCTGCGTTTGTAACAACAAACGCAAACCTCTAGTTCTTTTTTTTCTTTTTTTTTCCGTACAGCACGTTTTCGCGGGTTTTCTCCTAAACGGTTTATGATATGAACTTGTAACTTTCAATATAAATCCACCTTCTGCGGGAATTAATGGAATTATCCACGGTCTTCATTTTTGATATTACAATGTAAGTACAAAATCGCGTGACCCTTCCTTCCAGTTGAAACAGGAAGTGCCTTGTAATTTAAAATTAGTAAAATAATGAACTTGCTTTCAAAGATGTATGCTTAGGCTAAGTTTTTTTTTACAAAAACTAACGGTGACGTCATAAAATGTTAGAGCGCCCTCTTGCAGCAGGTTTTATAGATGATTAGAGATGGAAATTGATGTGACGTCATCATGACATCACGTGATATTTGACGTCATAATTCAAAGCCCTATTGGAATGTAATCACATATTTATATGCCACCATTTAGTATAAACACTACTATATACACATTCTTTCTGGATGGAACTTAAACTTGAAACTTTACATGTCACATGTCACAAAAAAGTTACCGAAACAGCCCTGTGTTTGTCCACAAACATAAGTCTAGTTGAGTGATCGGGCACAACCCGACCACTCTTTGAATCTGTTAGAATTAATCTTTCTTTATTTCTATCTTTCTTTTTTTCTTTCTTTCTTTTTTTCCGTACAGCACGTTTTCGCGGGTTTTCTCCTAAACGGTTTATGATATGAACTTGTAACTTTCAATATAAATCCACCCTCATCCCAAGTGGAGCATATCACTCTGACGTTATTATGACGTCATCTGGTATCAAATTACAAGCGATTTTAGCTGAAAAAAAATACCAATTACGTTCATCGATAACTCTTGAACAAAGTAATGAATGATGTTTGTATTCTTTAATCAGATTTACATTTTTTGTAATGTACGTAAATTCGCCTGACCTCTACTTCCGGGTCTACCGGGAGGTCAAATTTAGGTGAATTCGAAATGAATACGTTAGCCTGAAATCAAAACAAAGCCAAATTTCTTCCGAACGGTTAACGGTACAATCACAAAAACTTGTGTGAACTTGTACCATGTTACGAAGATGTAATACATTTAGTTACGTCATCATGACGTCATCAGGTATTAAATTACAAGCGATTTAAGGTCAAATGTTGACAACAGTTTTTGTGCTATATCTTTTGAACTAAATAGAGTATCGTGTTCGTTTTTTCGTGAGGTTGTAGACTATGCCGTGAGAAACACTTCTTGTCCCCGGACACAAAACCGCTTGACCTTTGCTTCCGGTATTAAAGGAAGTGCAATGAAAACTGAATATAAGCGGAAGCATTTTACTACAGACATATATATATTATGCAAGTGTTTAGTGAGAAATGCAAGTCACAAAAAACAGTGCGATGACGTCATAATCCGAAAGGGCGCCCTCTAGCGGCACATAACATTGTGTTTGTTTTCTTTTATCTGAAGAACATCGGTTCCAATTTTACCAGATCGCCCCTTGATATTTTTTGATAAACCACAGATAACTTGGCAAGGTTCGAATTCATGACGTCATCAGACCGGAAGTTACGTCGATGAGCATTTGAAAATGATCATATTTCAAATTGAATTCTATTACTTGATCCATGTCGTATATCTTCGTTGCCCCAATAGCGATACCATAACAATTAATGTTAATCTTTTGCTTCTAAATACTAGTGACGTCATGGAACTGGAAGTTAGGTGTTATAAATACTTAAAGTTATATTTTCCACATTTGCATATGTTGTTTAACTTCACAAAAACATTTATCCACTCCGAACTAAATCAGTATTCACTTCCCTTTTTTTTTAGAATGACGTCATCAAGCCAGAAATAACTCGTATGGGTACATAAAATGTTTACCGAAATTTAGAACACCGTTAAAGATGCATTTTTCAGCAAAATAATTTATTGTGATGGAAAGGATTTAATTTCGAGATCCTTTTTTGTTACATAAACATATTCATAACTTAACTCGGCAATGTTTCATGAACAAATTGCCTGCCCGACCACTCTGCGTTTGTAACAACAAACGCGCACCTCTAGTTTCCTTTTTTGTTTGTTTTGTTGCTTGTGCAGCAGGGGGGGGGGGGTGCAAAATTACGTAACAACAAATATCTTAAATTAGGTTTTGCCCTTCACCGACGTTTTAAACACTGTATACCCAGTGTGTTACCTCCCGAGTGAAAGTTGGAAAAATTTGGGCAAAACCTAATTTGATTTATATCACCCCGGCGCAAAAATTCCATCTTATAATAGTTTATGCGGTACCCGCTGCTATGTACATCAGATTCGAACCGGCCAACCGATCCCGTTAGCTCGGTGGTCGAGTGGTTAGACATCTGCACTGGAAAGCAGGAGGTCTTGGGTTCGAGTCCCACCCGAGTGATTTTTCCAACTTTCACTCGGGAGGTAACACACTGGGTATACAGTGTTTAAAACGTCGGTGAAGGGCAAAACCTAATTTGATTTATATCACCCCGGCGCAAAAATTCCATCTTATAACAAATATCTTGTCTTAAACTAAGTCGCTCCATACCAAGAATTTGAAGTGTTGGACAACAGTGGTTTTGCTTAATCCTTCGACTGGGAAGTGCAGAAGACTAGGAGGGAGGGTAACGCGTGATCACTATTACTTCAGAAGAAGACTTTACATATAGCATGAGTGCGTTCGATTACTTCCCCATGAAATATTGACTCATTGGCCGTATTGCGCATGCGCAAGTACGATAATATGCTATTTTTAGGATCATACATAGGGGAGAGACCTGTCACGTGCGAGGTATTAACCAAAAAAAGGGAAAAGGAATCCGATTTGCATAGGAATCGGATTTTCATATCTCACCGGCTTCAATTGGTCGATACCGAAATCCATGCAAAGTCACGCCGAGTGACGCTAATGAATATGCTAATATGCCTGTCGTCATTGTGTGCTGGGCCGAAATCGGTCAGCCTAGGCGCTTTGCTGATCAATGCACATGGGTTGGTAGGCAAATTACTCTCGTCGAATCTTTCATTGGAGATGGTTCAAAGTGTAACACTAGCGTCTGCAACAACATATTAAGCTGAAATTTGGAATACACTTAATGATGTAAGTGTCTAACTACTAGTGAATTAACAGCTTGAGTAGATTCCAAGAAATTGATATCAATACATAGATTTGGGGAAGTTTTCAAACGATTCTTCTAGACTTGATGGTAAGCTTTACCAGTTACAAGAATTGACATTTGGGCATCAATGACAACGATTTTTTTCACTGACATGAAGTTTAGAATATCTTCTTCCGTTATAATTTAATATTTCAATCGTACTGAGCATATTTTTTGAGAAGCACAACGTTCAAAACGTCATGTTT